CCGACTCACAGCGCCCCTAGAGGACAGAGTGGAACTGCACCACAGGGTTCCCAAGGCTGTCAATCTTCCCAGAAGCAAAGCCCAAACCACACCCACTGCCCTGGAGTCCATTCTGACCCACAGCGCCCCTAGAGGACAGAGTGGAACTGTCCACAGGGTTTCCAAGGCTGTCACTCTTTACAGGCGCAGATCACCAGGTCTTTCTTCCGTGGAGCGGCTGGTGGACAAACTCCACCTTTCAGTTAGAAGCCGAGTGCTTACCCACTGTGCACAGGGCTCCATATTGTGAGTGTCCTCATTAGGTTGTGTTTGATGAAAATTAGAAATGACTTGAACTCGGTGGTGTTTCTACCAGGATCAGAGACCCATTCACCGCGGTTTCTCTGTTTGCAGGCTCATGCCAAAGTCTGGCATCTGTACAATACTTCCTTTCGTCCCACTCAAGGAGGTCAAGTGTCCATTGCCCTGAGCTCCCACTGGATCCGGCCTCGAAGAATGACTGACCACAGCCTCCAGGAATGTCAGAAGTCTCTTGACTTTGTGCTCGGCTGGTTTGCCAAGCCCGTATTTATTGACGGCGACTACCCTGAGAGCATGAGGAGTAATCTTTCTTCTCTTCTGCCCGAATTCACAGAATCTGAGAGGAATTTTGTGAAGGGGACAGCTGACTTCTTTGCTCTTTCTTTTGGACCTACCTTGAGTTTCCAACTATTGGACCCTGACATGAAGTTCCGACAATTAGAATCCCCCAGCCTGAGGCAGCTCCTTTCCTGGGTGGACCTTGAATATAACCACCCTCAGATATTCATTGTGGAAAATGGCTGGTTTGTCTCAGGGACCACCAAGAGAGACGATGCCAAATACATGTACTACCTCAAGAAGTTTGTCATGGAGACTCTAAAAGGTAGGATGGCAGGTAAAATTCTAACTTGCTGCCAGAATCCATTGGAAAAACAGCCTTCATGATTATCCACAATAAACTATATGCATTTTTATTGTTTAAGCATTTGTTGTTGTTTGCTGTCGAGTCAGCTCCGACTCATAGTGACCAGTGGGTTTGAATCGCCAGCCTTCTGGTTAGCAGTCAAATGCCTTAGGCACTACACTACCAGAGCTCCATGTTTAAGCACAGCATAGAAATTTGTTTTGTCAATAGCAGGCCTGCTTCTGTGTAACACTTCTCTAAGAGCCCTGGTGCTGCAGTGGTTAAGTGCTGTGCTGCAAACCAAAAGGCTGGCAGATTGAACCCAGCAGCTACTCTGTGGGAGTAAGATGTGGCAGTTAGCTTCTGTAAAGATGACAGCCTTGGAAGCCCTGTGGGGCAGTTCCACTCTGTCCTCTAGGGGCGCTGTGGGTCAGAATGGACTCCACGGCAGTGGGTGTGGTTTGGGCTCTGCTTCTGTGAAGACTGACAGCCTTGGGAACCCTGTGGTGCAGTTCCACTCTGCCCTCTAGGGGCTCTGTAGGTCAGATTCGACTCCACGGCAGTGGGTGTGGTATGGGCTTTGCTTCTGTGAAGATTCACAGCCTTGGAGACCCTGTGGTGCAGTTCCACTCTGTCCTCTAGGGGTGCTGTGGGTCAGAATGGACTCCACGGCAGTGGGTGTGGTTTGGGCTTTGCTTCTGTGAAGATTGACAGCCTTGGAGATCTTGTGGGGGCAGTTGTACTCTGTCCCTACAAGGTAAGTGTGAGTTGGAATTGACTCAACAGCAACAGTTTTTGTTTTTTAACCACCTTTCTAACTTGCGGCCTTGAGGAACTTAAATCAATTTTTAAAACTCCTTTTGCAAGTGAGTAACTGGGTGATAACATGTGGAATTATTTAACTTTCAGAGTGGGTAATCTACATTTTTAGATTATGTTAAGCCTAAAATTAATCCACGTATCTAGCTCTTTGTATATGTCTTTGAGTTCTTACTGTTTTTACTGAATACCAATACTTTTAAAGAAAAATATGCCCATTTTGTAGCGAAAATAATGAATAAGTAGTGCATGCTTTTGAAGCCTTTATTCATTTATGTCATCAGGCACAAAGCCAGACAGACACTGGGGCAAGACGTCCTCCCTGCTCCTGAGGGGCACACGTGGGAAATAAAGAACCATCCAGTTCTTAATGCAGGGGAATCTAAACAAAACCGTACTGCGGGTTAGCGTGTTTCTAAGCCTGTTAACTCTGGAGTCACTTCTGACTTGTGCTGACCCCATGTGTTTCAAACTGCAGCTGAACCCTGTATGGTTTTCATTGGAGTAAGCTTTTGGCAGTCTTTGTTCTGATATTTTTCTGGGTCCATTTGAATCATCAGGTCAGTCAGTAAATGAGTGCTCTACTATTTACGTCACCCAGGGGCTGAGAAAAGCTTATTTTTAAAGACATTTATCGGTAGAGCGATCTTGGTTTGATTAGAGCCTTTGTGAAGGAGAAAAAAACCTTGCTTTGCCAGACAATTAAGTGGTGTATTTAATTTATCTCAGCCAGCAGAAAAGCCTTTGAGTGCTGTCAGGCAGGAGGAGAACGCACAGCAGCGGGTCACGTTGTCCTTGTCCTTTCTTCCCTTTGCAGCCATCAGACTGGACGGGGTCCACGTCATCGGGTACACGGCGTGGTCCCTCATGGATGGCTTCGAATGGCACAGGGGTTACAGCATCCGCCGCGGGCTCTTCTACGTGGATTTTCTGAGCAGGGATAAGGAGCTGGTGCCCAAGTCGTCAGCCTTCTTCTACCAAAAGCTGATAGAGAATAATGGCTTCCCACCTTTGCCTGAAAACCAGCCCTTAGAAGGGACGTTTGCCTGTGACTTCGCCTGGGGAATTGTTGACAACTACATGCAAGTAAGTCGGCTGACAAAACCCACCAGCGCCACCACTAGTAAGTAGTGCTTTCACACCAGGCTGGCTCAGGGCGCACGGTCCAGGCTTCAGTGGGGCACGGTCCTCGGTGAGCTCATCAGGCACAACTTGGAATGCTGCACCCTACTCTCCAGAGATCTCCCCAGCGACATCTGGCACTTGACATCAGAACAAAAGGGAAATTCAAAATATATGCATATTTAAGGTCTGGTGAGAAAGTAAACAAGGAGCCCTGTGGTGCAGTGGTTAAGCACTGGGCTGCTAACCCACACGTGAGAGGGTGGTGGATTTGAACCCAGCAGCTGCTCTGTGGGAGGAAGAGGCGGGAGTCAGCTTCCATAAAGATGACAGCCTTGGAAACCCTATGGGAAGTTGAACTCTGTCCTCTAGGGGCGCTGTGGGTCAGAATGGACTCCACGGCAGTGGGTGTGGTTTGGGCTTTGCTTC